AATTGTCGTCATATTATTATGAGTTGGAGTACACATTGACTCACACTGACTGAACACATTGAGTGATTTTTGGAAGATTTTCGAGACTTCACTAGCTAATGGATGGGATACAAGGATATTTCAGCTAAGTGAAACATTGAAAAGTATACAAACATAAAACTACATCTTTACGTAATTTAAACAGGAAAACTTTGTGGCTATACGAAATACGAACTAGCTAGGATCAAATGCTTTAAATGTGCTCAGATAACTATTTGCTTAGCTTAATGTAATTTTTTACCAAAGACCTTAGGGCTAGTGCTGAAGTCAGCTTCTCGAATTTTAGTAGTATCTCATATTATTAGCATCCACAAATTTCTACTAACCAGCTTAGGAGCCAGAAATCGATGCCACAAGTGATGAATACGTCATGGAGCATGCTGGTTATTACTAATCCTTATTTTTCCTTTCAATAAACTAATTACCTCGATTTTCGTATAAACACTTTAGTCTTTAAGCATATAATTAAACTACAATAAGAAAATAACTTATTTCGCAGAAAAGATAGTCGTTTGCGATATTATATTATTATGTATTATAAATAGAAATATTTTTAAGTAACAAACTTACATACATAAAATACAATACAAATTTTATTACAATACAATACAATAATTACATACAAAAAATTATATATAGTTAAACTGCCACGACTTTGTCTGTTCGCAAATCTTGGAAAGCAGTTGATGGATTGAGCTGCTTTTATTGTCGTTATTCGAAAATCTTCCCGAATTTTGATGCCAGATACACATCTGATAACGCCCAATGATCACAGAAAATGGCAATCCGTTCTATAGTTTCGTTACACCCTAAATGCGGTCCTGCATTTGCGTTGATGTGGGTGAATCTGATGCTCCGACAGGTCGACAGTACATCCGTACGTCCCGAGAGGTCAGTATTGTCTGCCCGAAACGTTTCACAAAAAAATATTACCTGTCGGATTATTTAGTTCACGTACCAGAACCGGAAAATTTGCTTTCAAAAGAACTTTCGGGGCACGACTCGCATTCGGTTTTATTGGACGGTTCATTTCGGACATGATGACAGACCGCTTCAAATAAGGCCTGCATTATTTTAACTATGTACCGCCTTTGTCCAAACTTTATAGCCTAGTTTACAAGCCACGATAATTCGTGTATATTTGATGGCGCGGTGTGTTGTGAGGAGTGCTTATTTTAACAGGACAGGTATCACGTTTATGACGACAGGCTANCGCATTCGGTTTTATTGGACGGTTCATTTCGGACATGATGACAGACCGCTTCAAATAAGGCCTGCATTATTTTAACTATGTACCGCCTTTGTCCAAACTTTATAGCCTAGTTTACAAGCCACGATAATTCGTGTATATTTGATGGCGCGGTGTGTTGTGAGGAGTGCTTATTTTAACAGGACAGGTATCACGTTTATGACGACAGGCTACGTCATTGGTAAATTGGGGAACTTGGCCATTAACGAAGTTTGGAGTATCTTAGCGAATGATCGATCTCCGAGTTTTGGGTCCAATTGTTCGGTTTTCGACACCCATAATACAGTTACAAATTTAGTATAGGATCCTTCAATGTATATCAAATTAGTGGCTAACTGAATGGTTTTCTGCACGTCTAAAGATCTTGTCTGGTTATATCGTGAAGCAGGCATTAATTCCGGTCTGAAGGTGGAAGACCTTTTTTCTAGACAAATGCTTCACTGTGTTATCGCACTAACGCTAGCAAAGCAAAGCAATAGTCGTAATTGTTGAGGTCGGTCTGATCCGGTGGTACATGCGCTCGTATAGCAACGGGCTTTTAATAGGTCTATTTCAAGGGCACTTGGGTAATTTTTACCCAACCCTCTCACCCTGACTAATTAATTGGAAAAGGTTTCCGTGCCAACCGCAATTCCACCATCCCAAAAAAATTAAAGCTGCTAAGAACCATATTCATTGTGACCCCTTGCAGAAGTACATGAAAACGCTGAATCGGTAGAGCGTTTCGATTTTACAAGAAAATGTACAAAAATCACATTTGATATATGATAATGTTAAGATAACACGAAGAGTCCCGGAGCGTTATAATCTATCACATGAGCGTTTTCTTGCCCACCCATGCCCAACGTTTGTCTTTAATAAGGTTTTCCGATGGAAAATCATTTGTATAACTTTATTACTGTGTTCTTCCATTTGGCTTATGGCCTCCGGGTACAAACTAGTTTTTACCTAAATTAAAGTATACGTATGAATTCGTGGCTAGGGTTGTTCGATCTTGATCGAATAGATCGGCACATTTTTTATTTTTGCTTTTCTATAGTTGAAAATTGAACTTGCCAAAAATATCATCTACTTTGTTTGGACTTCCATCCTCGATTTTTATTAATTTATTTTACTGATAATCAAATAACAAAAAATCGTATTTTAAGCAAACAACCAAATGAAACAAACAGATAGCCAGTATACTAGTATAATAATGTTACGCGGTAAGAATAACGCCATCTATCGCCGAATAGAAGAAACGAATATCAAAAGATCTAGTGAGATCGAGAGCGCTCGAGAAGTACAACGCCAAATGTCAAACGGCGGAAACGCATATCGAAAATACTCGACTTGTGAGGAATGTTCTCGATAATTCTAGGGATGTCGTATCATCTATAAAAGCGTTGCAGAGATGGCACGAAGTCAGTTAGTAATCGAAACTACTCGAAGCGAAACATCGAATGAATAACCTGAAGCGAAGCGGAAGAAACGAATTGAGAATTTTAAAGTGCTCGTTAATAATAAGTTTCTAAGGGTTAATACAGTCTTAATTTACACTTTGGTATAATTTTTATTTGTCCCAAACCCCAGCGCGTAATTTTGATTTGTTTTTTTAAATGCATTTTTTAGCCTTTATACGTAAATATTAATGAACAAGCTATTCAAAATCGATTTCAGGGTACCACTGATAAAAATTAAACTGCAAGTTCATAACCATAAAAAGCTTTAACGAAAACACTGCAACGGCTTTAAAAATAGTTTCAACTATGAAACTCCAAGCTTAACTTTTAATCCGCCAGCCGAAGTTTGTCCTAAAAGTTACTTTATAGTTTTATATACGGAGCAGGCTGCAAATCTGGTGAGTTCGTTATGGCACTAATAAATACTGGACGTTATAACTTTGTACTATCTGTTGATATAGAAATATTTCGGCTAATCTTTATGACTCTTTCAGCTTTTTCTTGAAGAAACGGACAAGACTTACCATGTGCTATTATTATTACAGCGCTTTTGTGCGATAAAAATTTATTTCCTAATTTTTATTGGTACATGGTACAAAAGGGTAATGGTATAATAAATACTCAGGGAACGCTACCGACTATTCTCCTGTGAATCCCTTTGACGACTTTTACGACACGCACTGGAAGAGATGGGGTGATGCTATTTTAGGCCACGCCACAGTCATTGTAATTGCAAAGTAATGCTTTATTATTAAGATGTTAAATGGTAGCCTTTTTACGTTTTATCGTGTTCGGATATTTGTACCACCATTGATTTAACGTCGTCTACAATCTAGATAAACCAAAAAAACAGCTTGAATGTAATGATAAAGTTTCATTTAAAAGTGTTAAGAGGGTCGAACAAAACAGGGTTTTTTGGCGATTAAGATATCAAAGCGGTATTACACCACGAAGGAGTAAATTAGTACCAAATTTTCCCTGAATAAGCATAAAATATCAGAGTAAAACACAACAATGTAAGAAAAAAACGCCGAGTAGAAATAATATATATATATATAAATAAATATATAAATATTTACTAACAATCACGCCACGTTAACTGGTCCCGTGATAAGTTCGTAAAGAACTTGTGTTACAGGTACCAGATAACGGAAATAAATATAAGATTTTTATTATACACATACATATATTTAATATACATCCATAACCCTGGAAAGACATTTATATTTATCATACAAATATCTTCCCTTGGCGGGATTCGAACCCGCGACCCCCTTGTGTAGTGACCATGTCACTTACCACTACACCAGACGGCCGTTAAAACTAAAAGCCGTTAAAATGAACTAACTTTAGTGAATTTTTTTATTTCAAGTCATATTAACATTTATATTACGGCTCATGTAAACGGATACAAAACATTTCGGTTAATTAGGTTAAAACTAATTAATGGAGGCTAATTTTTAAGCATTTCGTGACTCGAATATGTGTGAAAATGTACGCTTACGAATATTTATGAGGGTCATACATCAGAAGGGTGGAAAAACAGACTTCTGGGGTTAAACTCCGAAAAATATTACACTAGATAAAAATGTTTTCATAATTATTTTTTTAGATCAAGGTAATCTTTTATTTTTTGGTCACGTAGAGCAATTAATCCTTAGAATGTTTTATTGTAGACCGCTTCTACTTAAATTAATGCTAAAACAGTACACATTTATTTTTCTTTGTAAACTAAAGAAATCAAACAAAGGCACTAAAAAATAATACCATTTGTAGTAATAAAACATAGAAAAGCTGTTAAAATAACGACTATTAAGCTACCAGCCACGATATTTTTATCGTTCACCAAGAATAACGTCAAAAGAATCATTAGAGCTTGAAAAATGGTTGTGATAGTTTGCTGAAAACTTCAGACATTAAGTAGATCTTTTATATAGTGAACTTTAGCATCTTGTCTATTCCACTTTGACTTTTGTGAATAGTTCGGGGCGAAGCTGTCACGCAACTGCGGGACGCCCTCGAAATATCTATTTTCACGCTAACAAATTGGACAAGTTCGAAATAATTACGTGTCATGTCCAACTTACAAGACATTGAGACACCTGTCAAGCCACGATGCCTTGGAAATTAAGGTCCACCGAAGTATTACAATAGTAATCTCAAAATGCGAAAATACTAAATGTTCTCCCACACAAATATTACGACTGTGTATATGAATTTAGACTTACACGGTTTTTTTTTCTTTGTTGCAGGTATAAATTTAAGAAATAATGGAACAAGTCACCAAATACCTGATCATCATAGCTTCCGTGATGACTGTTAAGCTTACTGTTACTGAAAGTAAGAATGATACCAAGCCCAGAATAGATAGAAGGTACTTTCACGTGCCCATGTTTGTTAACATCTGTGATATAGAAGACCGCAGATCCAAAGTGCATTGCTACTGCGACAACAACAAACCTAAAATGGCCACTCGGGCCGATTGCTGGGTGTTTGGAGGCGGAATAACTGAAGATGATCCAATATGGCCTAATTTTTCCTCACAAAGCGAATTGGAGCATCTTATCTTCAACGCTAGATCTGATGACGCTCTAACCTTTATTCCAGCGAAAGCCATTGTCAGATTAGATAAACTAAAACATGTAACCATACAGTTCGGTACTATCAAACGTATTCCACCGTACGCTTTCACCAACTCATCAACATTACGACAGATTGTATTGAAATCAACGAAGATAACGAAACTCGAGAAGCACGCGTTCTCGCGGCTGATGATGCTGTCAAACCTGAGTCTGGATGACAATCAAATAGAGGAATTGAAACGAGAATCGTTCTACAACCTACCGAATTTACACATACTCCACTTGTCGAACAATAACATTAGTTTGATACACGAAGGCTGCTTCAAACACTTGAACAACTTAATAGAATTAAGACTAGATTACAACTACATATCAGTAGTGACGCGCGAGATGTTCGAGGGACTGGAAAACCTCTCCAAATTGAACTTGAGACACAATAAGTTAACGATGATCGGAAATTTGGCGTTCACTGAACTGTGGGGCCTGAAAGAGCTGATGCTCGATAACAATGCTATAGAATACATATCGGAGAGAGCTTTTGGCGGTCTGGCTCAATTGAGAAAATTGTGGCTATCGGGGAATAGGTTGACGACATTTTACGAGGACGCTCTCGAAGATATGCGGAGTCTGGTAGTGTTGGATTTAAGAAATAATCTGTTGGAAACGATATCTTACGAGGCGATTCGATCACTGGTCGAGAATGTTAAATCAAGTTCGGCTGCAGTGTACTTAGAGGGTGAGTTGCAATACCCAAACCATAATTTATAACGTTCCTTTAAACCGCTCAATATTTAATTGTTTATTACTGATTATTTTCATTGTTTATACATAGATAGATAGACCTTGCTTCTTACAGTTTATTATGACTTGAGGAGAATGAAACCATAAACCATGTACTTGTGGTAGGACCTCTTGTGAGTCTGCACGGGTGGATACCACCACCCCGCCAATTTCTGCCGTGAAGCAATAATGTGTTTCGGTATAAAGGGTGAGGCAGCCGTTGTAACTATACTATAGAACTTATATCACAAGGTGGGTGACACATTTACGTTGTAGATGTCTATGGGCTTCAGTAACCACTTAACATCAGGTGGGCTGTGAGCTCGTCCACCCACCTAAGGAATAAAAAAAAACAATGTTTTGGATAAATATCTATCCAGCCTTACTGGTAATAGACATGATCCGAATTAATTCTATGTCCTGATAAAGATTAACATGAAAGAAAATTGCGTTCCAGTTGTGGCAGGGTGGGCATTTTTGCTAAGGAAATTAATCTTTGAATGACGTCTCAAGGTTGCAATGACAGCATCCACTGCATAGCTGCATAGTACCATAATAATATGAGACCTAAATTATTGAATAGTTACCTAGACCGATTTCTAGAAACAAAATTATTTAAAAAGTATTTTTTGTGAATACGCAGTCTTATCTAAATATTTTCATGCGCTGATTTTCCAATACAGTCTACAAAAATTTTTTCTAAATAAAACAAGATCAAAAACTCGAACTAAAACATATTTGTGAACTACCTCTAATTACAAAAGTTAAAATAGAATTAGAACGCTTTAGGTAAGCACTACACTTAAAATATTTTTGTTCAAAAAGAAATTAAGTTTGCGGACTTAGAGTTAAATTGCCGGCGCTTTTCTGGAGACATCTCTTTATACAATGCCCACGCGTTATAGCTACTAATTGGATCAGTGGATAGTCTACTATGGTCGCTGTTAGAACCTTTAGTCCCTTTTCCGTATCGTTCGATCTTCCGTTGGATAGCTAGAAGTGTAGGTCCCTTTTGTATTTTTTCGTGAATTTATTTAACAAGCATTTACTGACGAAAACAATTGTCCAATTAATAAGCAAACGCGTTGTTAATTGGTCTGGTACGTCAACCAAGAGCAACTAAAGAACTGCCTCTACTAAGATACCACACCCGTTCTCCAAAAAAACCTTCAGAGAGAGAGAGAGAACGAAAACTCTTCTGGTTTCTAAGCAAGCAGTAAGATCAGAATTATTGACCATCCGAATGGCTCCTTTCTCTGTGAAGTCACAGAGAAGTAGCTATTACTTAGAAGCCCCGACCCAAAGATTGGAAAAGTTCTGCGCGCTAGGCGGAACCTGTACTTTGTACAGAATAAGTTGTTGTCCGGGCGTCATGTTACCCTTTTCGTCGAAACCACAATATAGTATACTGTTCACGTAATGTTCCAGAATATGTTACGTAATAGTGTATGGCTTATGTTCAGTTTAGCTTAAGTGATTTTAATATATAGTCTTTGCATAGTTCGAAGTCGTTGTGGCCTAAAGGATAAGACGTCCGGTGCATTCGTATGTAGCGATGCACCGGTGTTCGAATCCCGCAGACGGGTACCAATTTTTGTAATGAAATACGTACTCAACAAATGTTCACGATTGACTTTCATTGTGAAGGAATAACATCGTGTAATAAAAATTAAACCCGCAAAATTATAATTTGCGTAATCACTGGTGGTAGGACCTCTTGGGAGTCCGCACGGGTAGGTACCACCACCCCGCCTATTTCCGCCGTGAAGCAGTAATGCGTTTCGGTTCGAAGGGTGGGGTAGCCGTTGTAACTATACTGAGATCTAAGAACTTATATCTCGAGGTGGGTGGCACATTTACGTTGTAGATGTCTATGGGCTCCAGTAACCACTTAACACCAGGTGGGCTGTGAGCTCGTCCATCTATGTAAGCAACAAAAAAAAAAAGACTGAAACTAACATTGCGATAACATCGTTGAGTTTAGTTCAAAAAAGTCATAAACGAACTCCTGAACCTCGACTTTTTATTGTTGTCTACAACACGGTCCCGTCTACCGACAGATGCATGAAATGGTTAAATAAATCTATAGAGTTTTCAACGTTATTGCCGTACCTTAAGATATGAGGTATAATTCTCATTTACTAGTGATGCCCAGGTAGTCGAAATTCGACTATAATTAATTGAAATTATAAATTTGTACACTATTATGATTCCATTGTTACAGACTATTTATACTTCTATAATCACAAATTTCGCCAATACTACAACTATAGACAAATATTAACAAACAATATTCAATATATTTTCTCAATTTGACCACGGACTTTAAGCAATGGCAAAAGTTTGACAATATACAAAGAGCATATGTGCGTGTGTGTGTGTGTGTGTCAAATATGTGGTAGTGTGTGTAATGTTTTTTTTATCGATTTAACGTATTTATAATGCATAATTTACAAAAAAATATTAGCAATCTGCACTCCTTCTCTATATTCTCTATAAGTGTGGAAAATTTCATACTCCTCCGTCCCCGCAATTTTCGTAAAAAGGGGTACAAAGTTTTTGCTTCACGTATTAATACGTATAGATTATGTGATTGGCGTGAACTTCTCTTCAGACTGTAACGCGTGATGTCTACGCGACAGAAATTATCAAATCATAGTATTTCACTTTGCAAACTCACAATGTGTCCTATCATCAGTAATAACGCAAATTAATTAATTTTGTGGGCTTTAATAAGATACACGATGCTAACCTTTTATCGTATTTCTTATTAGTGTAAGTGTTGTAGCTAAATGCGTGTTCTCTAGAAAATTCTAGAAAAATAATCAAGGTGAATTATTATTAAAAAATTCTTATTAGTGAAAATGTTGTAGCTAGATGCGTGTTCTTTAAAAAATTCCAGAAAAATAATCAAGTTGAATTATTATCTGTAAATTAATACGTGAAGCAAAAACTTTGTATCCCTTTTTACGAAAATTGCGCGGACGGAGGAGTATGAAATTTTCCACACTTATAGAAAATATAGAGAAGAAGTGCACAATGTAATTTTTTTTTTAAATAATGCGTAAAACATACATTAAATCAATAAAGAAAACATTACACACACTACATACCATGTATTTGACGCACACACGCATACATACTATTTATTGTCAAACTTTTGTTCTTGACGTCTGTGATCAAATTAAGAATAGATTAAATATTGTTTGTCTTTATTAATATTTTTTATAGTGTAGCCTTGGCGAAATTTGTGAGTATAGAAGTTTAAAATACAATCATAATAGTATACAAACTTACAATTCCAATTAATTATAGTCGAATTTCGACTACTGCGGGACCTCTAGTTTAAAAAAAAACCCCACCGATATTATCGAAAGAAATAGCAATCAACACCCACTCATGTATACGCCTAAATAATTTGGCAAATACACAACAATTTTGGCTGCGCTTTCAAACGTTTGACTTTAAATCTGAAATAACAAAAGCATTCACCCACATCCGGCCCATTTAGAATGAACTATTACAGGGAGAGCCAATTCGCTTACATTACTCAAGGCAAATACGATCGGCGGGAATATTGGCAATGCCTATTGTTAGTCCTGATCCAAACACATTTCATTTAATGACTACTGTTATTAGTAATTGTTATCTGACCGAGCAAAACTATGTGAATATTTCCGGAAAAACATACTTATATAATAAACCAAACACGGAATTTTATGTAAATATATTACGGTCATATTATTCGTAATTTAAATCAAATAACTGACAGCGATAGTATCAATGACACGATCCACCTTATTTTTGTACAAATGAGACTGTAGCCTCATGTTAAATACGCTGTATCACCCTGTTGATAGTCTTTTTTGAAAATAATCAAAAGTCATTGCGCTCTAAAGAAAAAAAAAACGCGCAATTTACCAGCAAGCAATGCGGCTACATTGATAAGTTACCGGATACCAATAACTGTAATGAAATACGTACATAACGTGTGTCCTCACGAAAAACTTCCACGGTCAAGGAAAAAAGTCGTGTAGTAAAAACTCAATCTGAAAAAAATATAAATTTCCATTATTACCGGTGGTAGAGCCTATTACTGCCACGAGGTAGTCTTTCGCAATTTCATGTGGTCAGCTTATAAGTTGCTCATCTACTAATGCTACTCTTTTAGATCAATCAATAACAGATTCCATTCTAGAAGCTTTTTTGCTCGTGAATAAAAGACAGTCAACAACGGTTTGCAAGCGTTGATGATCATTCACTGTTAGGTGATCATATGCTTGCCTTCCTATAATGACAATAGAAAAATGACTCAAATGAAAGACAATAATAAATCTAAGCTCATTTATGTATGTATGTATGTTTTTACTGGTGGTAGAACCTCTTGTGAGTCCGCGCGGATAGATACCACCACCCTGCCTATTTCTGCCGTGAAGTAGTAATGGTTTCGGCTTGAAGGGCGGAGCAGCCATTGTAACTATACTTGAGACCTTAGAACTTATATCTCAAGGTGGGTGGCGTATTTCCGATGTGGATGTCTATGGGCTCCAGTAACTACGTAACAACAGGTGGGCTGTGAGCTCGTCCACCCATCTAAACAATGAAAAAAAAACAAAAAAAAAACGATGAGATTTCTTGTTGCCGGGATTTAATGAAACAAAAAAGCGTCCTATTTTATTTTATCTTTTATCCGTTCTTCCTTCCGCGTCCTCTGTTTCCAGCGCATCAATACTTTACAAATAAAGTGGATCGATTTACTGAGTTTTATAGTTTCTTTCCTGTAATAAAACGGATTCAATTTGCACCCTACAAAGATACTATGACGTATGGGGGATTTATGGGTAATGGAGGGATCAATGTTGCTATAAATTTCTCTGTCAGAGACAAAAAATCAATGTGAACGGTCTTTTTGATCCGTTCGGAGAGGATTGTCGACGTGATATTATTTGCCTTTTG